GCTGTTCAAGAGGTCGGTGAAGTTTGGAATGGAAAAATCCATTGACGTTTTAGTGAGAAGGAATTAACTAACAGAGGAAATCTATTTTCAGAAGGAATTAACTCAGAAGGAATTAACTCAAAGGTAATCTGTTTTCAAATGAGCAAATAAAATGGTTTGGTTAGGCTTCATAGATATGGAGTAATTATAGTGAGAAGGAATTAACTCAGAGGAGTTAATGAAAAGGTTTGGTTAGTTGTGTGTTATGAACCACACAACTGAGTAATGAGCTACCTAATCTACCTTGAATCAAGCCGCTTTAGGTTTTAAAATTTAAGTCACTGACATATAGGTTGTCTCCATCACCATCAATTAGCAATAAGTTGTATTTTCTGTTTTATTTGTAACTTAGTTAAGCTTTATCAGTTTTCTTAAGTTTTATTAACTTTTTACACTAAGAAAATGTAATCAGAAAGTTACACATGAACCAATTACCTAACAACTTCTACGCAAGACCAAAACTCAAGACAAAATCAATCACCAAGTTATACTTCAGTTTATAACATTACAAGCCATTTATAACAGTACAACAATCTATAACAGTACAAGCCATTTATCATACACAACCTAAAACTAACACAAAGCCATCAATGATACCAAGTGAGATTTAGACAGATTTATAAAAGTACAAACCATACTCAACTTAAAACTAACACAAAGCCATCAAGTGATACAAGAAAAATCGCATTTAGCTTTAACAAAAATTAATACTAACCTACTAAAGCAATAAAAGCATCATATTGTCTTTGATGCATATCTGCTAATACTTTTACTTGAGCAATGATCTTTGAAAAGCAAACAAAACAGAGGAATTAAAACCATTTTTCCAACAAGTTTGAGAAATGAGCTAACAAGTGTAATCAAAAGCAAATATACTCTCAAAAGGCTAAAACAGAAACTTAAATTCATCTGTTATTAACAAAGGCCAAAACAGATATCACTATGTCACACTACACAAGCGTATTCAATTTCAACCAAAGGAAATGATCCTGCAAAAAGACCACCCAAGTTCTAGAAATGTACACAATTCCATGGACTTTTGGTATTTCCAAATTCAAGCAAATCATCTTGTGAGCAATTATGAACAAGCAAATCATCTTGTGAGCAAAAACAAGTGAAAGATTCTTCATTTCTTAAATCATATGATCATAATCCCTAAAACATCTAAAATTGTTCTTCCAATTGAAAGGAGAATGAGGTAGAAACGTACATGATTCGCCGATGCTGCTAAAACCGCCAACGTAAGGACCAGATTCCCCATTCCGTCCACCGCATGCGCCGCCTTCGCTCCAAATTCCCAAAATCCTAAAATCCCAAATCCAATCTGATCAAATAATCAAAAAATCACTGAACAATAAGCAAACTAAGAAACTCCAAGGTTACTCAAATTCGATTGATGAAAGCGAAATAACGAACATTATCTCACCTTTTCTTCGGATGGCTCTGATGAAGAAAGGTGTTTCGGTTCATGAACCGATTTTTCTGTCAAAATCGCCAACAGAGACAGATCGAAACAGAGTGAAGGCGATATCGACACATGCAAAGGACGATTCCGATGATATCGCCGGAATCGGCTTCAC